TCAATTCAAAACTCAAAATCAAAATTTCCAAATTTATTCAAAGAGGCATCTCGTGTCAAATGATTTCTCGGGCAATAATTGAGAGCAAAAGGCGCAGAGAATTTAAAATTAGTTAAGAACCCATAAATTTCTTCTAAATAAAATTATTTTAAAATAATAAAGGAGAGAGTTTGGCGAAGACTTCACCGAGAGAAGCGAAAACAATGGCCGTTGACGAGCAATTATCTCTCTCAGTGGAAGATACTGAACTCACTGTCTCTCTTTTTTATTCCAACTTTGTGAGAGGAAAACGTTAAGCTTTACCCACGGTTTTATGTAAGCTAAACTGCACCAAACTGCTTTGGATCCGACCCGAAACGAAAAGGGTCGCATCTGGGTCAAAAGATAGAGTTGTAATTGGAGGACACGGGTCTGGGCAAATTGTGGAATTTGACCCGACTCGACTAGCTAATGCCTAATAATAATAAGAAAAAATTATAGGTTACTTTTTCTTTGGTTAGAATTGGGAAACAAATAATTAAAGGTTAACGTAGATATGCACATCATTATAGAGAATGTGACTGATAAGGGTAATTCTTATGATTTGCATAAAAGTAGGGTAAACGTGTCGGCTTGTGGGCATCCATATGAGCCTATTAATTGTTATCTTCTGCATATGCGACTACCATAGAGTGGTTACGATTTTGTATATTTTACAGTTGTCATTTTTATTTTTTGATTGCTTCATTGTATTCTCCTTATGTATTCTTACAATAAGTCAATGACATTTCTGGACCAAGTAATATGCACGGGTTGTCCTGCGATCTTTTGGATCATTTCAAACTTTTAATCGTTAAAGAACTCCTACATGAGCTTCAGCATATCTAAAATCCGAACTAATAATTTGCACCCAGTATCGGATTTCAGTACAACAAGAATGGGTACGGATCAATGACCCGAACCGGCCTTATATGTTATTGGGTCGGGTTAGATGGGTTTTCGGGTTAAGCTCTCGTGCAGCGGGTTGGTGTACCCGTTACACCAGGACTATTAACGAACATCAGCTGGGCCCCACACCTACTTTAGACAGGGAGAATTTTTGCGCGTGATTAGATAGTGGGAAATTGGCGGGCTGCAACATCTAAAAGGACGTAGCTACCTGATATGGCGTACCGAAAGATGGT